GAAACCTGCAATTCTTATTTTATTACATGTTTTCACATCAGTAGTAATTTTCTTATTATTTCGTCGTAATTACTTATCAGTTTACAACATTATTTATTTGCAAACCCTCCCTTTGAGTTTGTACCCAATATAAAATCCAAGATATGTAAGAAGCGCTATTGAACAAAGGTCTCGATACTATTTATTCTGACCGTAGGAAAACGTGGCATTGAATGGTGGTTATCTTTCCTTGTTACGCTCTTTAAGGCAGTAGGTACTAGATTTATTATGAAAAAGAAGTTCAACAGCTGTTTCATTTTAATACTTTATGATTTATGGAAACAAAGATAACACTTTTCAAACTGAACGTAACGCCTTTTTCCGTCTGTGCTGATTTTTGCGACTATACATGAACAGCATACTTTACAGTTTCGGGACTCGTTTTGTGTTCCAAATTTTGGTTATGGGGTCAAATCTAACACTGCACCCCTTTTTCTTTAAACAACCGGAAATTTATGTAGGTACCAGTCTTGTGCATCCACGTTACCTATGATACGAATAAGCCATTTGAAAGTCAAAAATAGAGCTGCAGAACTTCTTAGAGGTTGGGACGCCATGCCTTCCTTAAAGTGTGGCCTGTGTTCTAATCTGTTGACATTTAGAGAATTTAGTACACAGGGTCGCTATTAATTTCACACCATTCATGATTAAGGTAATAAAGAAAGAGAAAAAAACCTTTCTAATGACAAGTCGCACTCACAAACCATACCAAAAACAATTTTTGAAACAATTTATGTCGATGCCGTTTGGCTCACCACCTCGGTGGGTTTCCGAAGGGTGGCGATCGCGCCGAGTGCCGCCATGAAATTCGAAAGCACCCTTGCGCCGCTTCGCATGTCCAGTCATATCAACCACAAATAACGTAGCTGTTTAGCACCACCAGAAGAGGTAGTCACCGAAACAGCTCAGATTATACCCTTGAGTGACTTAAAAACTTTATGTGATTTTATTACTTATCTTTACCCAAAATCGTCTTGAAACCAGAGCTGGGCAGAATACTTGGAAAAAGTATTTGAATACTAAATAGTAAATACTTTACACAAATCAAAGGAATTTGAATACTAAATACTTTTACGTCCAGCACAAGCGAATACTAGATACAGATACATTGAAAAGTATTCAAATACTTAAAAAAATAGATATTCAAATACTTTAGAATGTATTCGAATACTGTCAAAAGTATTCGAATACTTTCAAAGGTATTCGAATACTGTCAAAAGTATTCTAATACTATCAAAAGTATTCGAATACTATAAAAAGTATTCGAATACTTTGAAAAGTATTTCATTATCTTACCTTGAAAAGTATTCGAATACAGTAAAAAGTATTCAAATACTTGTCACTCAAATACATTAAAAATTTAAAATAGTATACTAGATAAAAGGCTTAATACTACTTAAAAAATCAAGTTATACTTTGTATGGGGTTACCTTTTTTTATATTTCTATTGTTATATACAAATTTAAGGGGAGTAAAAGCGTATTATTATTATTATTATTATATAGGAGGTACCTACCAGGACCTTTCTTATACCAGTTATATCCTTAAGAATACGTGTACCAGTTTTCAAAGCGATCGTACGCCTTTCTGAAATTAATCCTAGCAATTTTGGAACAAATCCATTTTTGACCATCCGTTTGTCCGTGTGCATGATAACTTGTTTAGAAACGTGCGATCGCTTTGAAAATTGGTACACATGGTCTTAAGGATATAAGAAAGGTCCCTATTGTTTTTAAGTTAAGTAGACTATCGAGTTCGGTATTCAGATGTATCGGATTTTTATATTTGATTTTGTGACAATGGAAACTTTCCCTAAACATTTCTAAATTGTTCTCAAATATTTGAATAACTTTAAAGTACTGCCTTTTTTTGAGGCTGGAAAAAAAATTGTCAGAGATCGACCGGGAAACACTTTTCCTATAGAATTTGGCCCGTAGAATCCATAATTTCAAACAGTTTGACGATTGGGCTACTAGATCAAAATTTTTTTTCGAAATTTGTTTTTTGTCTATAACTATTTATTGAGAGGTCTAATCAAAAACGTACGAATTGTTTTGGATTCTACGCACCAAAATTAATAAGAAAAATTGTTTTCCCGAGAAATTTTGGTGTAGTCGATTTTTTGTAAAAAAGGAAGGTTATACACTGCCTTTTTTTTGAGACCCGAAAAAAAAAATTGTCCCAGATCGACCCGGAAAAAAATTTTCTTATAGAATGTGGCATGTAGAATCCATAATTTCAAACAGTTCCAAGATTGGGCTACTAGTTCAAAAGTTACAGCCCTTTGAATTTTCTTTCGAAATTGGTTTCTAGTCTATAACTTTTGATTGAGAAGTCTGATCGAAAAAGTACGAATTGTTTTGGATTCTACGCACCAAAATTAATAAGAAAAAGTGTTTTCCCGAGAAATTTTGGTGTAGTCGATTTTTGGTAAAAAAGGAAGGTTATACACTGCCTTTTTTTGAGCCCCGAAAAAAAATTGTCTCAGATCGACCCGGAAAAAAAATTTTCTTATAGAATGTGGCCTGTAGAATCCATAATTTCAAACAGTTCCAAGATTGGGCTACTAGTTCAAAAGTTACAGCCCTTTGAATTTTTTTTCGAAATTGGTTTCTAGTCTGTAACTTTTGATTGAGAAGTCTAATCGAAAAAGTACGAATTGTTTTGGATTCTACGCACCAAAATTAATAAGAAAAAGTGTTTTCCCGGGAAATTTTGGAGTAGTCGATTTTTGGTAAAAAAAAGTAAGGTTAAGTATTCAAATACTATGCGAAGTATTCGAATACTTCTCAAAGTATTCAAATACCTTGCGAAGTATTCGAATACTAAATATTTGTGAAAGTATTTGAATACTTTAAAGGATTTGAATACTAAAAAGTATTTACAAAATCGAATACTGCCCAGCTCTGCCTGAAACCTTCTTTTTCATGCCTGCTTTGTGTCAGGAAATTTAAGTTTCCATGACAGAGGCAGAGCAGACTACGTTTCCTGCCGCTTGTCACTTTACCGGCCGCATTTGTGACGTCTATAATGAGTCCTGTCATCACTGATAGGTTGACATTAATCAAAAGTTCTATATGAAAATTGAAATTTTATATTAAAATACGATTTCGGGTAAAATTTACTACAAAACTCGTCAGTAAAATGTCATTACCTGACTCGGAAATTATAGTACTCGGCCCCAAAGGGGCCTCTCACTTTAATATTTTCTCCCCAATGTATCATTTTCCCGACTTTTATGTAAATAACTATTGTAGCTAATAATGAAAATTGAACACTGAAAAAAATCAAACAAATATTCAGGCTGTTCCTAAATATGATGTAAATTCGGAAGACGCTAATTCTTTGGCTTATTTTATGATTAACAGTTGATATAAACACAGGTCCGCAAGGGTTTCGTTACCGATCTTCAAGGTGTTAAAATTTCAAGATTTTTTAAGCTTTTTCTTTATATCTCCTGGAGTTTTTGAGATATTTTCCTCAAATTTGAAGCATATGTATCGTTAAAGGGCTTTCATTATTGGTCATGTCAATGGTAGTGGGAGGAATAGCGTAGGTCCCAGAACTGAGTTTTGGGACACACCAATATTTGCAATTTTGTGTTTTTGAGTTAAATGTTTGTTTTGCCCGATTTACTGTGTCAGTTATTGAAACTACTTGTTCTCTGTTGCACAAAAAAGGAGGCTATTGGAAGTTTCTGGAGAAGAATTACAAAAATTCGGTATTCAGTGCTAGTAAAGGGCAATTCCTTTTTAAAATGCATATACTACATACACTTAATGATTAAAGGTCATACCTGGCACTGGCTTTAAAAGATACTAAAAGGCTGGGGGCACCATTGAACACCTTTTGGAAAACATTTGGGTACCCCCGAAAGCTCTAAAACATTCATAAATATCAATAAGGCTTTTTAAAGATTAATAGAAGCTCCGAAGATCCTAAAATCTCAAAACGAACTCCAAGTGCTAAGAGAGAGAGAGAGAGATCGTTTATTGAACCACTTTTGTGGTATAACATTGGAATAATTACGACATAATATAAATGTATAAAGATAAAATGTAAATAGACTATAATATAGATTAAACAAACAACAACATAACAATATTAAATGTAAAGATAAAATATAAATAGACAATGATATGAATTAAACAAACAACAACATAACAATATTAAATGTATATAAAAATTTCGATAAACATTACAGTTAATAAATTGCGATATTTGTAAAGAAGTCTTCCAGTGAATATGGTGCCATTGTGTTAAGTATTTTCCGAATTTTATTTTTAAATGGGACGAACGCCGATATAGATTTGATATTGCTAGGGAGAGCATTGTAAAATCGTAGACCCATTTGTAGATGTGATGTGTCATACACTTTACTTTTGGAGGCGGTTATTGCAAAATTATTTCTCTCTCTCTCTCTCTCAAGTGCTAATCCTGAAAGGTGATAAATGACTTGTGTAAGCTCTCGGCATCTCTTGAATACTTTTGAAAGCTCTGTAATACCCTAAAATATCTATAAAACTCATTAAAGGTTATGTATAGACTTACATTCTAAAGATTTTGAGAAATTATTGCAAACTTTTAAAGGCCGTAGGACAACAACCTCTCTACGCTTTGGTTGGTTTACTAATCAAACGGCGCTATTGGAATTTCACACTACTGTGTAGACTGTAGAGTGTAGATTCCAAAGCAACATTCATTGATGTTTACTTTTTTCCAGTGTACAGATTCCTTTCCAATACAAATACCGCATCCAGTAAGAAACACTTTATTCAAAGATAAGATTCAGCACATTGGAGCGATAGATAATGAAATATCTCGTCACCTCTATGCCAATATAAATCAGTCAACGAGTTTATGATGTATCACTCGCTTTATTAACGCGAAGGTACCCTTACAGCAGCTTATTGTAAGCACTCAGCAGTGTACTGTAAATATTTGCGTCAAAGGGCTCTACTATGTGTAATCGGGACGTATTGATTTTTTAGCGCGGGTGGTTTGTCCTCAGACTACAAGTCTGCAATTTCACTCAGATATTACAGAGCTCAATTTTGTTTCAGACGCTAACCGTGCTCAATCCCTTCCGGACTCCCGACTTCCAAGCCGTACAGGATACTGATCTGGCCGGACCTTTAGTGTTCTGCTTAGCGTTCGGAGGATTCCTGCTCTTGGTACGTATACATTTCGCGAGGGTGCGATTGCTGAACGAAATTCGCTTGAAAGAGTATTAAAATTGAACGCGAAAAAAAGTGAAAAGAGCGCCCGCTCTTGATTTAGAGAAGTAATTTTGTGTTCAAAGAGCTTTACAGATAGGTTCTTTTATCTTTCGCTCCCTTTAAAGGTGTGTTGACAGTGTAATTCTTTGCTCCTTCTAATGAAGCCCTTATGAACGCTGATGAAACATCGGCGTTACATTGTGAAGTTACTAATTTCGCTTACAGCGAGAAATTCTGTTGATTCTTTTTTTTTTCCTTTCTTTTGTGATGGTTTCGCATCAAAGAATCGCCTCGTTTATACCTTTTTATTAATTAAAGGCGCATCTATTCGACCCAAAGATCACTTCCCTTAAAAACAGAACTAACTGTGTGGTAAAATACCGCGAAAACAACGCTTTTAGGAGTGCTTTATGTTTGTTGGGTGGCCCACTTTGGAGATAAGTGAAACTCCCTGACAGTATTTTGCGAACTATGTGTAACAATCGATAAGACACCGATCTTCAACAATCCCTAAACCACTCTCAAATTATCTTGTAATATTATATGTAACAGTAGCTTTCTAAGGGGTTGAATTTTTTTTCGAATTTTCTTTAGGAGTTAAATTTAGGAAGTATACAGGGTAGTTTTATACATAGTGAGTTTCACAAAATTTGTAGTTTTGCCTTTTATTTTAATTGGGTAATTTTGCAAAATATTTCACTGAATTTTATTTCTGTATCGTGTTATGCATAATAAGTTTCCGCTGACTCATTTCCTATGTTGGATAAAGACGCATCGTGGAAAAAACCGTCGTTTTGCAAACAAATACTTATAGGTGGGAAGGAGTCTGAAAGAAGAAAAGTAAGATAATTATTATTCGTCGAGCCACCAAACGAAAAAACCAGTGTTTGTGTTATTAACAGTTAGGCCTCGAGAAATCAGGTCAGCAGGATTATCTCCTACCTTATAATATCATGTTTCTAGATGGTTTTGGAGGTCACTGAGGATTTTTTCTAATTCTGTTCCCCACGAAATTAATGTATTTTTCGGGGCTACTCTTGATCCATGCTAATGTAATCATGAAGTCTGACCATACGAATATTTGAATATACTTCTGATCTACTTCTGAAAAAAATTAAGCAACTTCTGCAATTAGTGCAAGAAATGAAAGCTGGTGAATATGAAATGAAAACCGGCCAAGATGAGATGAAATCTGGTAAAGATGAGATGAAAGTCGATCAACAGGCCATGGAAGCTAAATTCGAAGCTGGGCAAGCCGAAACAAAAGCCGATCAACAAGCTATGGAAGCTAAAATAGAAGCTGTAAAAGCCAAAATCGAAGCAGGTCAACAGGAAGCAAGAGGTATAACCTACCCACGATTTGTTCGTGGATTTGCCTACAAGCTTTTGTCCACAATCTAGGAAGATAACAATGATATTGAGTTAGAGTTAAGAAATTCAAAGAATGAGTCAATACCGTCTGTAAGTAACAAAATGGAGGATTCTTCTGCGGGATATTTAAAACCCGCTAGTTCTCTAATAAAATCTTACTCTGGTGATTCAGAAAACCTAAATGCACTTTTATACTCCTTAGAATTGGTAAAAAGAATCACTATGGCAGGAAATTTAAATGTATGTGTACAATTTATAAAAACCAGGTTAGAAAAGCTTTGAAAGTCATTCCTACAAATGCGAATACCTATGAGGAAATTCGAAATGCATTAAAGGCAAACATTAAACCAGATTCTTCTGAGGTACTAGAAGTTCGGCTTTTAGCGTTAAGAACGGATAGGAAAAGTTTGGAAACCTTCAGTAAGGAGGCAGGGTATCATCTGAATGTTTAAAACGTTCATTAAAGTAGTTAGAGCGCCTAGGTAAAAGTAACAAGAAGTTGGTGAAAATTTGGTCACTTATTCTCTGAGAGACGCACTTTCTAATGGTCAAAAGAAAAAAGTGTTCCTATGTGCCGTTTCTGAGATATTTGACAGTAAAAACAGGGTATTTTAACATGGGCTCTTATGGACAGACTCAGTTTTTCTGAGCTAGCGAAGGTTTTTGTATCAAGACTTAAATGAGATGGGTCTCATTAGAAGCGAAATTTTGTGACGAATCTAAATATGCACGAAAAAGTACATGTTCATGATGAAATAAGGAAGATATTTACCGCCGGAGCGGCGTCTGCTCTGACGCGGCGGCACGCTATGCAGCACGCGTTTAAATCTGATGACTTTTCCACTAGGTCTAGTATATAACTGAGCTAGGACAATCTTTTCCTTCTTCTGCTGAGCACTTTTCTTCACAAAAGGCATGGTGTCTTTCAGAAAGAACACCAAAACCAGCGATATTTATAAAGGCTTGCACACGTCTTGTTGACACACTGATCGGATCGAGATCAAGAGAGCGGTTGGGGGGATCTCTGGCGCCAACATCGAAAAACCAAATCCACTACACCGACTTCACGTAAAACGCCAAATTATTTAGTTTCCCGGCTTTTACATACGACTCGCATACGTTTTGATTAATAGTACATTATATATCAAGGTAGAGAAGTCCACTATTATTGCCTGAGCACCAAGATTACATCTCGAGGCGCTTGCGCCGAGGGGTGTAAGGTGCGAAGTAATAGACTTCTCTACCGTGGTATATATACTATTTTTTTCACTACTAGCACTTGAAATCCTCTAAATTAACATATTATATTGATAAGAGAGTTAACGGTTGGACAGAATTGTTTGTTTCTTAATTTAACATGTCAATCAAGTACGTGAAAGTACAAGTCAAACAGGCCGTATTTTGTTCTGTCATTGAGATTTTTCAAAGAGTAATTTCGTTCGAATTTTTTTAAAATGTGATAATTTTAGGTATGTAATTTCTCTGGAAATTGCGAATGGTGGCAATTATTCGTTTTAGAGAACTTGTCTAAACGTTCATTGAGCGAAATTTCGGGTTGTGTTTTCTAAAAGTGACAGCGTGACAGTTCTCATTATTGACTACTAGTTAATAATAAAAAATTATTAACCACTTTGAACAAATGCCGAGAAAGCCTACTTTACAAGTGGAAAAAAGGTTAATAATCATGTCATCAGACGCTAGTAGTGAAAAAAAATAAATATATTCGTTTAGGATTTACCGCTTACACTGTGAATATTTAGTCGCGGTGTGTCGTCAACATTTAGGGTGCAAAGGTTTGAAACAGGGTCGAAAAGTAGGGAGACTAGTCAAGTTGACTACTGTATATACCTTTTTAAAAATCATGTAAGACGTTTGCATTGTGCTGAGGTACAAAATACCACTCATACCGTATTTCTAATTATGTTTCCTTCACAACAACATTTTTTTGGGGACGTTTACCGTAAGTAATAGGTAGGCCGAGTACGTCACTTGACTTCAGCCGAACGCGCTCTAACTACTTTAATAATGGAAGGAACCTCGGATTCAAAAGCTGAATCAATAGTGGTAAGGAAACCCGGAAACGGGCAAAAATTAGGTGTATAAAATGTTAAAATCAGGTATAATAGAACATAGCAGATTTGCATATAATTCCCCAGTGATTTTAGTATCTAAGAAATCCATAAACAGTGAGAGGAGATGGAGGATGTGTATTAATTAATTAAAATTAATTAATTCCAGATAACTTCTCATTATCACGTGTCGACGACATTTTAGATAACTTGGGTGGAGCAAATGGATCTTCTGAAAATCATCATTTGTAAAATCTTAAAGTAGTCTTTGAAACTTGTCCTTATAAATGCCAATTCTTTAAAAATGAAGTTACTTATTTAGGGCACAAATGTACTGATAAAGGAATATTAACAGACGATTCGAAATTTGAAATTATTAGAAATTACCCTCAACCTAAAGATAAGGATGCAACTAACCCTTTTATTGCATTTTGTAATTACTATAGAAGATTAATTTCTAATTTTGCGAGCATTCCATATCCATAAAATAAATTAATAAGGAAAAAATGTGAATTTAGATAGACAGATGAATATAAATTAGCTTTTAATCAACTTAAATCATTTTTTTATGACTTCCGATTCTTCAAACTTTCTCAAAAACTTATTATATAACAGTTGATGCAGCAAAATATGGAACAGATGCTATACTTTCGCGGAAAATTAATGGCGTAGGTCACCCCTTATCTTATGTGTCGAAAAGTTTTACAAAAGGAGAACTTAACAAATCAACTATAAAAAAAGAATTAACAACTTTCATTGGGCTATAAAGTTCTTCAATCCATACATTTTTGGTTCAAGATATTCACAGTTCGATCAGACCACAAGCCTTTATCTTATTTACTTTCTTTAAAAGATCCTACGTCTAAATTAGCTAGAAGGCGTATGGATATTTCAGAATATGATTTCGAAATTGAATACATTCCTGGAACAGACAATGTATATTGTTTAGAATTGCATGTCATAAATTAAGAAAATTCACGACAACGCTAACATATTAAAAATGATCGATCTCGAGTACTAAACCTAATTTTGCAAAGTACACACGAGTTGTGAATCAAAAGGTAACCATACCAATGGCAGTATATGAAACTATTAATAATAATCAGGAAACTTCCTTATATTAATTTAATATAATCAGAAATGCTGAGAATAATATAATAAATAATAAATCTGCAAATATTAGAGATATTATATGTAATATATTTAAAATACGTCAAAGAATAAGCCAATTTAGTTTAACTATATCACTAGCTATAATTAGAGTTGATATTATCAAGAGGTGGGTAAACTTATATAGAAAAACTACAAATTTCATGTGTAAATGCAACATTTCTTTATTTAATATTCAAAGCTTTGAGGAACTGGGATCAAATATAATACATAAGTGTGAAATACTTATCACAAATAATATTTACGATAAAACTGAAAAGGAAACTTTATTAAAAACAGATCACTACAATCCATTACAAGAAGGTCATTGTGGTCAGAAAAGATCATATACACAGTGAAGAAACCTGTATTATTAGAGAAATATGTCAAAAAGTGTGCCATAAATGTCAAATAAATAAACCTAAACATAATTTAAGAGAACCTTTAGCACTTATCACTTACACTACACCATGCAAATCATTCAGTAATGTAATCTTCGACATAATTGGTCCATTTCATAAATCGGATAGAGGAAATAAATACGCCGTAACTCTCATTTGTGATTTAACTAAATACCTTATGACTACTCCCATACCCAATAGACATGCTTTTACAGTCGCAAGAGCAATTTATAATAATTTTATATAAATAATAAATTATAAACCAAAATGTATTATGACAATAAGATTAATAAAATTTGTTAAACAACAATCATAAAGTACTGCTAGTAAATGATAGCAGAAGGAAACACGAAGCATTGTATAGTCCATACATTGTTAAAAAAATTCACGACCATAAAGTGGTAATTTGTAATCCATGTAACAATAATGCTACTTTAGTTCATAAACATAGGAATCTATTAATATGAATTTGTCAGGAAGGTAAGCTAGGAATATAATTTTAGATCATATTTAATCCGTAACGTGATTGTTTAAAAAGGAGATGGTGAATAACCAGTCCTGTCTCCACAAAATGAAGAAAATGTTTATTATAATTAATTAACTTTAAGTACCTACCTACATTATACATAGTAGATAAAGCTATGTTTACCATTGTAATGAGGGAGGTATTGTGTCATCCTTAGAATTCACAGTATATGTAAACACCCTGTATGGTAGAATATGTAACTGGGTTGTAGGTATTGGTTAACTATCATTGCTCAAATTGTCAATCAATGCAACCTTGTTAGGTCACTAAGCTACATGACTTCAAATGTAATGACGAGAAGATGGCTACGAACTTCAAGCGAGATACACGTCTAATTAAATAGATATAAGAAGACATTACACCCGTACAGAAAAGTTTGATATTCCTGTCGTAACTTAAATTTTACTAAACAAAAATGTGATTATGGTTTTCCTCTTTCCATAAAAGGGTTAAATACTCATACGTTGCTGAATTTGCCAAACAAATCTTGTCAAATCTAACGCGGTTTTGCTCTAGATTTTTCTCTTCTGCTTTTTGCGGAAAGTCACCACTCACCAATAGCACTAAAGTGAATACAAGTAACAAGATCAGCAGAAAAAGTTTGGAAAGTTAATTTGGAAATCGTTATGGCTGTCAGTTTTCAGTCAGTCAGCTGGCATTGAGGTCACAACATGTTTAGTCATCTTTAATGTAAACACAGTGGACAGGCCGCACATCAAATAGAGTAAAATCGTAATTATTGCGCTTGGAACGAATATTTAATTATGAATATGTCGATGCGCCTGAATAGAAATATGTGTTGATTATAAATCGACAACAAACGCACTGTACCGTTAGCGCGCGGTGAGGAGAAAAACAAATTCATTTTTGTTCCCAATCGTTCAATTGTAAAACCTATAATTAACACGCTAATTAATTTTTACTAACGCTAAATTATTTTTCAGTCGGGAAAGGTGCACTTCAGCTATATTTATGGATTTGGAGCGCTCGGCTGCCTATTCGTGTGGACCCTTCTTAATCTAATGAGTACGCAAGGTGTAAATGTCGGCACGGTTATAACAGTTTTAGGGTATTGTTTGCTGCCAATGGTAATCCTGTCTGGTGTTAATGTGGTCTTTAATTTACAGTAAGTACTAAAATCTCTACATGTGCTCGCTAATAATACATTCCATTGTAATTAGGGGTTACGTCGGCACCATTCTAACGGGAGTTGCCATTTTTTGGTGCAGTTTATCGGCTTCCAAGCTGTTTGTAATCGCTCTACAAATGCAGCACCAACAGCCACTCGTCCTGTATCCTTGCGGTTTGTTGTATGGCGTTTTTGCGCTAATTACAATATTTTAAAGCACCTTAACTGGTGAATACGTTATAAAAGTGTATTTTTATAACACCGGACAATAAAATCAATTAAAAGTAATGGATTTACTGTGTTTCATAGAGCCCAACAAATCCATACTTTCCCATTTACTGTAACTAGAAGGTAAATACCTTAGGTAGTTTCCCATCCCTCACGTAGACATACGAAATTAATTTGCCTACGTTACAAAAGCGAAAAGCCCGAAGACAAATATTGCAAAATAAACAGCAATAAGGATGCACTGTTATTTGTTAAGACGGCAGAGTTTTTGGTCGAAACGACATTTGACTATGTAAATACTCCGAACGAGAAATTTCCTTTGACAAATGCCATTTCCCAGATTTTCAATTTCCATTATATTTCTGAAGTTTTGCGCGCTCAAAGAACAAGGTAAAGTTTGTTAATTACCTCCCTTTCTTTATCATAGCAAAAGGAATTTCAATTAAAATTATTCAAATCTAAAGAGTTATAATACTCATCAATTCGGGGACATGCGTTTTTAGTAGAAATAGAAATCGGCGACGCTGCGCGATTAAATTGGAAAAATAATTAAAAAAGTTTTATTAAAAATGACTCAAGAACGCGTGTAATTGGTATTGTAACCAACTTAACCCGTACACAGCGAGTAAATTCCATGAATATTCATAGATAGTTAAGTGTTATTTAACTTTGAATTGCTCGTTAGAGTAGGTAGTATTGATTCTGCTGAAAGTATCCCGATGGAATTAAACGAAAGAAGATGGAGTGATACGAGTGATATAGGCATAATAACATTTCGTTACACGGAAATATTAAAATGGTACGGATAAATGTTGATGATAAATCACCTTTATTGTTAAAACTTATCAGAGAACGAGCGCCGGCAAGATAAGCCGAGATATCTTTCACAAATTTTACAAAATGACACGTCAAATTAAAGCAATTAATCCAAGTCCCTAGTTTAGGTTGGAGGAATCGTTTTCCCGCTGCTGTAACATCATTTTTATAACGTAATATAGAAGTGAATTAATTTATGGCAGTTTGTCATGTTGTTATATATTTTTAAGGCGCTTTCATAACAATGAAAGGATTCGCTTTTTTGTTGGAATTCGCAAAAAAGTTTTCTAAGAATTTAAGAGGTAATCTGAAATGTGATTAATTCTGCAATGCGTTAGGAGGTGTCATTAGTTTTTGTTCTTTCTCTTCATTTATTGTTTCCATTGGTCGAAAACCAAACTCTATTTATTACTGTTCTGTACTCCGATTTCGTTAAAAATTATGCCAAAACTTTTCAACCACAGATGTACGATGCAGTTACGTTGCGAGTAGTGTACGCTATACGTAAGAGTCTAAAAAACATAAAGGAGGCGTTAAGGTTACAACCTGAAATGAATGTGTGTGGACTCTGCAGAAAGGCACAACAAAAGGATACCAACCTTGCGTTTAAGTATAAAGTGTCCCAAAGGAAGGGAAATCCATGCTTTCAAAAACGAGGCTTTGAAATAATTTTTTTAAGTATACGAATTGTTAAAGTATTTCATTTATACAATTGCACGCGTTTTTCCGGTATGCATCGAACTTAAAGCTAAACTAACAGTAAATTAGGAAATTCTTAGCCAAATTTGAAGACAAAGTTACAAAACGCGTTTGGGTTTATTTTTTAAAGAAGTTGGCAATTAGGTAAATAGTCCAGGCTAAATAGCTCTAAAATAATTTATTTAAAAAAAAAATTAGTTACCGGGTGAAACCGGGTTTTTCAGGTAGGTGAAATGAATAGAAAGTGGGGAAAAATAATTAAAACAGCTGAATTTTTCCGCGGGTGAAATCACGGGGATTGAAAGGGGTGGAAAGTGGTGTTTTGCAAATTGTGGCAAAACTATTAATTTAAGACGAAAATGTTAAATGTAAAAGTTATAGAGATTAAAAAAATGAGTAACTTTTGTATCTGCGCTATTTTCACATAACCTCCAATTTTCCTAGAAAAACCGGAAAAACTGTTTTTTTCGTTTTTTATTCTTATTTTTGCGAAAAAATGTCGTATGGGTTTGAAATTTGGAGGGAACATAGCTTGTTTTATGATAAAAAAGAAGGTAGGTTTTTGAGCCCGAAAAGTTGAACCCTTTCCAAGATCTCACGATTTCTGAAAAAATCACCTCTTTTTCAAGGGGATGGAAAATCTATTTTTTTTCATCGTACAGAGGTGCGCGGGGTAGCAAAATTTTCGTAACGACTTACATTTTAATAATCAAAAATAAAACCGTGTATATCTTAAAACTGTTTTATCAGTTTTTGGCGATTTTCTCGAATTTTTGCTATAGGAATAATATTTTTTTTTTGTTTATTAAAATATAAGTCTTCTCGAAAATTTTGCTACTCCGCGCACCTCTGTACGATAAAAAAAAATAGATTTTTCATCCCCTTGAAAAAGAGGTGGTTTTTTTCAGGAATCGTGAGATCTTGGAAACGGTTTTACTTTAAGGGCCCAAAGAACTCTCTTCTTTTTTATCATAAAACAAGCTAAGTTACCTCCAAATTTCAAACCCCTACGATTTTTTTTCGCAAAAATAAGAATAAAAAACGAAAAAAACAGTTTTTCTGGTTTTTCTAGGAAAATTGGAGGTTATGTGAAAATATTGTAGATACAAAAGTTGCTCATTTTTTTAATCTCTATAACTTTTACATTTACATAACATTTTCGTCTAAAATTAATAGTTTTGCCACAATTTGCAAAACATCACTTTTCACCCCTTTCAACCCCCGTGATTTCACCCGCGGAAAAATTCAGCTGTTTTAATTATTTTTTCCCAATTTCTATTCATTTCACCTGTCTGAAAAACCCGGTTTCGCCCGGTAACTAATTTTTTTTGTAAAAAAATATTATATAGCCTGGACTAAAACTGAAAACGATTGTAAACTTTAAAACTCAGTAATTTTCCAGTTATTAACGACAATTTTCGTACCCTCATATTCACATCCCTCGTTCAATTTCAAAATCGCTCAATTAACTTCTAATTTTTTACGAATTTCGTGCTAGTTAAGGCATCCTAAACTTTAAAATCGTGTAATTTTCAACTGGCACAGGCTGAATGTTTAAACATCAGCTTACAGTAAATTAGAAAATATGGATAACGCTGCCCAAATTCGAAGAGGAAACTTTAAAAGATTACGCTATACTTCTGTATAAAATTTTTCGTCAATTTGAACAAGAAATAACTATTCCAAAAGCTGAATTTCGAACGACGAACTGGTCACATCATGAGATGATTCTAGAAATACCTAAATTGGAAAACGAATCTCTAAAATATGTAAGATTTAATTTTTTATGAAGTTAGCAATGTTAGAAACTGAAAACCTTTGTAAACTTTTAAGTTGGATACTTTTCAAATACATTTTTTCCAATTTATTGCACTTGCAACGGCTACGGAAGATACTGGATTTCAGGTTAAATTTTCAATGTCAAAATATTAAATAATGAACTAGAGAAATTTCTTAACAAATTTGAAAATGAAGCCTTTACATTCGTTAATCTTTGATAAAATTGGCATTGGCAGACGCTGACAACGCCCAACGAATGTAATCTCAATTGTGTCATTTAAGTGTTTTCCCAAGAGACATCGAGTTTAAGGATACATTTGCAACCCCCAACTGGCAATAAATATATGGCAATTTATATCCAAATTTTAAGACGATGATGGAATCTGAAAACTCTTGTAAACCTTAACATGGCTTGATTTCTTCTGGTTAAATTCCGTATAGGTACTCAGCGTGCAATTACAAAATGTAAACCTTAAAATGGCGATCTTTCTCAATCTTAAATTTAAATTTCGAACGCATTATATACATATACTTAGGCCAAATTTGAATGTGAATTTTGAAAATACACTAACCTCTAAAATTTTGTTAATTTTTATGAAATTACTGGCGGATTATTACATTAGATCAATTGTGCAATTATTCGTGTTTTTCGGAAATATCTCAAAAAATATTGTTGCGTGAGCTAAGTCGCGCGGACGTTGCACGTATAATAATGATGGGTCACCCTGTGGGTCTATTTCATTTATTTTTAACGTAAAATGTTGGTTGCAATTTGAGATTAAACATAATATCAATCATATTAGTTGAAATCGAGGTCGATGAGAATTATTCAGGGAATTATTAGATGTCTAATTTTTGTTTAAATAATCGCCTTTTAATATTTTATTTATTTATTTATTTATTTATTTATTTATTCATTTATTTATTTATGAACCTTGTGCGTTATTTAATTCATAACGCCCTTAATACCTTAATTACACTAATAGCATAATATATTAAAGTGACATTTTAATAGGTTTGAATGAGTAGACTAAGCCGTTCTTTAACCTTAAGGGTAAATAAAGTGAAACAAATGATTGTGCATTCTAATGACATCTGTCCTCATTTAAAATGCACGTTATAAAATGCGCCACTCGTGAATTAACATCTTTCACTCAATGGTTAAAATATCACTTTATCGTCTTGTACAATAAATAACTATTATTGGTTTTTAAGTTAAAGAACGCCTTAAATAATTGGGGGAATTTTTTTGTTAATGTTATATTTTGTAAATCCCGTCGTTGCTATAAGAAGTTTTGTTATCGCTGCGTAAGCTAATTAAATGAAGATAAACAGATGTTTTTTTCGCCGACGGAAACATAGATGGTAGTTATTCGACGACGCAGTAATTTTGATAAAAGAAAAGATGGTTCGGAAAGTGAAAAAGAAAGGGAAATTGTTTTAAATAGAAAAGACGAACGTTATTCGTGACAGTTTAGAGGTGGAGTTTTTGTTGCATATTGCAGTCAGTGGTAGTTGAGCGTGTTTTGGTTACAAGACAGCCATCTTGCCAATTGTACAGTTGTTGTAGAAGAAAGATAGAGTTGTTTAAAAAAATATTTCAGGGAAAATGACCTGTGAGACTCATATTCATGGGGAAGGTTTTGAGGAATGGAGTTGTTTATTTCCTGTAAAGTCTGATATGGTTAAAAATCTGAACATCATGATACCTTGTGCATCTCAACAGATGTATTTGATTTCATGCAACGTGCTCGATTATTGCCCGCTGCT